GACTGCTGCTCCTATGGGGGCTGTTTGTGGATCCAACTAAATGAGACTGTTGACCATTTAAGTCTTTTTCCCCCATCTTTTGTGATGTTGCCTATTTGTCCAGTAGTGAGGATTTTTCGTGTGTCCTTGATGTTGAGATGTTATCCATATTATACGACAAAAGGTCCCAATTAGGAGAGAAGGGAACTGTAGACCAAGACTCCAATTCCTTAAAGGCAACCACAAAAATAAGTAAATTGACATACTGGTCTAATATAGGATGGAAAAACCCCTAAAAATAATTGCCCTAAATCACCCTCTAGGGAGTTCTGGTGGCCTCTTAGGTAAGGAGTTGCAGCAGTTCAAATCCAGCAGCTGCTCCAAGAGAGAAAGATGAACTGTCTCCACCTGTGTGATTTATAGCCTCTGAAAACCCACTGAAGGGTCAGCCATGAGTGGGTTCTGACTCCATGTCTGTGAGGTTTTTTTGAGCAGTCACCTTTCTAATGTGGAACTGAAGCCTCTCCCAAGGCTGCTTCTTCACCAGTTTCAAACTATCCTATGAAAAAAAAGCAACCACCATGAAGAATGTGCTGCTTAGAGCAATCAAGTATATATAAGATCAAAAGAAAAACGTTTGCTGAAAAACAAGCCAGGAAGGTCAAGGAAACCAAATGAATGGAAACAAGAAGCCAAGAGTATAAATGGGGAGAACGCTGAGACATTGTGGAGCCTGCAAACAATGGCAGGGAACAACTTATGTATTAATTACTGATTGAATGGAAATGTTCACCTAAAGCACAGTAAAATACATTAAAAAAAATAATAAAATGGAGATAATAAACTCCATAGTTTTTCCGAGAATGAAAAGAGGCAATGCATGCAAAACGTTAAGTGTTCACTGTATATTCTTAAGTATGCTCAAAATATAATGAAAAGGGGCTTGGTGTCTGAAATCAAATAGGCTGTAAAATTAGAATTTGAATGCAGCCTATTTGATTTCAGACACCAAGCCATTTTTCAACCTTGAACACTGGAAGCAGGAGTTGCATCCACTTCCTAAACAAGATGCTTCCAGAAACACTATGAACTTTGATAAATGTCGATAGTTATAGAAAGGCTTCAGGCTTTTTGTTCATAGGGTCACTATGAGTCGTGCTCAACTGAAAGGCAGTCAACAGCATCTGCAAGCAAGAGCTCTGGTGGTCTAGTGACAAGAAGCTGCACTGCAATCCCAGAGGCATGCAGTTCGAGGCCACCTGCTGCTCTACAGAGAAGGATGGACATTCTCCTCCCATGTGATTAACTACCTCTGAAAATCCACTGGAGGGTCAGCTGTGGGTCAGTTCTGATTCCATGGTACACAACAACAACAACCCTGAGCAAGGAATTTACCTTTCCATATCTTAATATTTTTTATCTGTAAAATAGGAATAAGAGTGATACAGACTGGTTGTTATGAAACAGAATCCATGTAATGGCAAGTAGTTAGTTACTGGTGAAGATCAAGTCAGTCAGCCTTTCTAAAGCTCAGTGCACATGCAGCTTCATGTGTTAGTGCCTATCAATTCATGAGGTGGAGAGTGCATAGAACGTTGTTACGCTAGAGAAGGCCATAATACAAACAGAATACACAAGAAACTTGTTAGGAAAGCAAAGTAATGACACATCTGAGCACTACTAATGTGCTCATGAACTGCCAGAATGAATAACTCTGACTTGGAAGAAATTGAGCCAGGATGCTCTGTAGAAGGGAAGTTGGTGAGACATTGTCTCACATACGTTCCTAGAGAAAGACATCATGCTGCATAAAGTTGGTCTGCAAAAAAGGAAGAGACCCTCAGTGAGGTGGATTGACCAGTTACTAGAACAGTGAGCTTAGATAAAGGAACAATTATGAGGATGGTACTGTTCTGGGCAATATTTCTTCAGTTCAGCTCATTTCTGTCACATCAGAGCCTGTTCAGCTGACACTCCAGTGGGATTTTTCTACTGAATCGGTAAACAGTAAATCTCTTGGGAGGAGCTTGCCCATCTTTCTCTGGCTGGTGGGTTAGAACCACCGGAGAGGCGCCAACTTTAGGTTAACTGTACAGCTCCCTACGGACTGCAGCACCAGAACTCCCTAACAATGAATAATCCATGGAATGCGTTATGAGGAGAGAAGGAGAGGGACCATAAGTAGCTGGGATTCCGTTATGGTATTTGGGTATTTGTTTCATTCTGTGTTCCATGATGGTATTTATCAAGGATGGTGCTTCTGTTAAACGTTAAAAGGTAAAGAAAATTGAAGACCATAAATTTACAAGGGCATCTGGTGCTATCTCCCAACTACAGTAGTTTTTGAGAACTGGCTGCTTGTTACTATCACTCTCATATAAAGTGGAACTTTCAAGGAGCTTATTAAAATACAGATTTCTAGGCCCCAAACCCAGAAAGTTAGTCTTCATGGGTATGTCTTGGGGCCCAACAATTTGCGTCCAGGTGGTTCTGATGCACACAGTCCTGTACCACATACCTTAGTAAACACTGGCCTGAAGATTCGTCTTTGTCTCTGCTTCTTCCTTAATTTTCCTATTGCATTTCTAGTGTTTATCACCACGTCAGCACCTGAGCAGTGTTCTGAATAGCTGGCCAAGGAGGGCGATGTGTCTGAAAGAAATGGACTTGATACATCAGACAGAGTGACGGTTTAACCAGGAGCTGTGCTGTAAAATGGGAGGAACCAACTTTGTGTGTAGTTGCCCGGTTGATTTATTCTTCTGGGGTGAGCTCAGGGTGTGTGTTTAGGGTTTTGAATACTCGAGGTTTCCTGACACTTAGATGAATGTGGAGGCCAAGGCCTTACTCTGGTTAAAAAAAAAAAGATTGTTAATCCTGCTGACCAATCAGATGACGCAGGGTCCGTGTTGGGTGTACCCAGCTTTTCTGAGTGCTTTGTCCGTGTTCAGTCCTTGAAGCCCCACGAGCACCTGTGGAGGAGGAAGAGAGGTTTATCAGCTCCTCTTCATAGATGGGTGCCGATAAAAGTGGTCTTGGTGACTTCCACATGCTGAGATGGAAGGGCAGAAAGCAAAATTATCTCAGCTTTAGAATATTACTATGAATTGGAAAGCCTTGGTGATTTGAAAGACCAGACTGTACTTCTATTATTATTTTTGCCTTCCATGTCAGCGCTCCCTCAGGCCTTGTGTGTTGTCATAAATCTGAAGTATGCTGGCCCCTTTGGTTCATTCCTAAAGTCAAGGGATAGAAAGATTATGTGGGCATATTGGAGACAGACTTTGTTTTTTTCAAAAAGCACTCAACGTCTTGGCAAGTTAGATATTGATCTTCCTTGGATCCCTGGTGGTACAGTGGTTCAACAGCATGGCTTCTATCTAAAAGATTAGCATGGGGGTGAGGGGGCATGTCAGGGGTGGTCAAGTCAATTCCAACTCATAGCAACCCTATGTGACAGCACGAGAGGGATCCAAAGTGGCAGTAACATGGTCTGGATCGGGCAGCGGTGGTGGGGATGGTGCAGGCCGGGGCGGGGCTCTGTGCTCCTGTACTTAGAGGCACTGTGAGTTGGAGCCAACTTGATGGGACTTCACAACAACAACAACAACAACAACAAAACTGCTCCGTTGTGTTTCCCAGAACATAAACCTTGGGATCAACCTGATGGAACCTGTTTGGTTGGGGAATTTTTTGAGGCCTTCATAATTGTCCTTTTCCCGCCTATCTATTTGCTTTCTTTAATTTCTGTTTGCTTGTTTCCCTATGACTGAAACAAGGATTACATAGTAGTGCTGGGGCAGAAGTGCTTTTCCAAAACAACTTCAGGAAGTCGCTTAATTTGCCCGCGAGGGGAAGAAGGGAAAATTCATTCTCTCCAAACAATCTTGGAAAATTCACGTTTTCCTAATACGTAAAGAATAAATGGTATGGCTGCTCCCCGGAGTGATTGTGTCTATTCCCCATAAGCCCGGGCAGCCCCGCCTCAAAGTCTCATGAACGCTCCTGTCCTCTTTCCTGCTGTTGACTTTGTAAACTGATTGGGTTTCCTACCATCTTTAAAACATAGCAGCAGTTTCCATAGACACAGACTGTGATATCACAAACATGGGTACATATTCTTTGATGATTGAAAAATCAAAGGGGTAAATCTTTGGGGAACTCTGGTTGGTGGCCTAGGAGCAAGAAGCAGCACTGCAATCCCAGAGGTACATGGTTCAAATCCACCAGATGCTCTGCTGGAGAAGGAAGGGCAGTCTTCCTGTACCAGTCAAATCCGATTAGACAGTACACATAAAAAACAATAATAATAATACTAATAAAAATTGTTTAAAAGGTGGTAAAACTTTGAAAATGCTGCTAGAGGAAGGAGGTAACAGTATTATAGAGGAGGGGTGTTCTGGAGAACAAGAAAGGAGAAAACCAGAAATGTGGGTAGAACCGAAAAGGACTAGTCAACAGCTGTAAAAGACACTTTTTTGAAGGGAAAAAAAAAAGGGAGAAAGCCTTTTTAGAGAAATTAGAAATCAAAGATAAGGATTTGAAGGTGAGACATGATTAGGAGCTGAATAGGTTTAAAAACGAATTCTTAGCAATCCTCCACAGGCACCCCACTCGGTATACAGTACTTGTTAAGTATTTCCTACATGGCTAGATGGTGGGTGGATAGACAGATGGACACATGAAGCACTACAGCTACTGAACTGCTAAATTTAAAAAGTAGAAATCTATTATTTCTTTGCATGTAAACCAAGGAGTTCAGAAAGTGTATGAATGACCACAGTGGATTTGGTTTGTTTTCTTTTTGGAGGCTTTACTTTCTCATTATCACCTTCCTACACACACACACACACACACACACACACA